GGATCAATGCATTATTCAGTTTTGATTGCTCCCAGTGTTTCTGTATGCACTGTTCACATGCTGCAATTTGCAAAACAGCTAGTAGGAGCCTCTATGGAATGGACACAATCTGTGCCAAATCTGCACAGCCCCAAGACCTGGGTTTTAAGCCCAGGGCTTTTTATTGTTTAGCCTTGGGACCTGTTTTCTGAATGTCAGTTAGTTATTCCATGCAAAAGTCAAATGATGGTAAAGTCAGAGACACTAAGCATGTGCAGAGTGATCTTGCCTTACCAAAAAAAAACTGGAGCAATGTGACCCATTTCAATGCTTGAGGCCAAATGGGAAATGCTGTCATCCCCTGATGCCGCCACCTCAGCCACTTACGCTGACTGCCCCACTGCCTCTGCCACCAGCATCAGTGCCAATTTCCAGGGAGTTCTTGCTCTTTTGGTGAGATCTCACCAGAAATTGGTGCTGGCACCTCTGCTGCCAGTGAGGTGGGCCTAAAGTGGTGGCTTCACCCCTCCTAATGACTGGTCCATTCCTGCCAATAAACGTTGAGCCTAGAGCTAAGGACTTCCAGGAGAAAATACAACATTATTTTTGAACCATGAGGCATAAGCTGGCTTTGAGTCTCTCTTGCTCTACTTGCAACAGAGCAGAATTGCCGCAAAACAGAGGCATTTACTGTTTACATTTGCATTGCAAACTGCTTTAAGCTTTGCAAGCGAAAGTGCCCTGTGAATTTTCAGGCTGGGATGAAGCCTGGCCAGCACCTCTGAAGAGAGGGCCATTGCCAGGTTGGGCCAGGAAAAGACTCCTGCCTGAAAACCAGGGCAGCTGCTGCCAGCCAGTGTAGGCAGTACTAGGCTAGATGGGTCAATGCAATGGGTCAAGGCAGCTTCCTGTGTTCATAAGTGCTGGACTTCTCTGACTGAAGGCATCTATCCCAACAAGTGCTGATAATTTTGAAAAGCAAATGGAAAGTGGACGTCCCTTGTTTTCTGGTGCCTATTTTCACCTCCACCCTCAGTGCTTCTGCATTATCACTCCTTTCCTCGCTTCTGGTGAAGTAGAGTTGGCGCCGTTCCCTTTGGAGCCTGTCAGCACCATTTTCCATCACTCAGAGAGATTGCTATTGATGAATGCTAATCACTTCTTCCTCCTCAGGGGATGTGTTGGCTGTTTCTTTCTCTTCTCTTCCCTCCCCACACTTTCCTTTAAAGGAGGAAAAAAAAAAAACATTTCCAGGCTTGGGTGCCCAGAGAGACACCATCTAGTACGAATCAAATTCTATTCTCCCACCAGCAGTATCGAAACATCGTTCCTGCATGCCCTATGCAGTGTGAGATATGTTTGTAGAGTCTGTCTCCATGCCCACGCATCTGTTTTGCTGTAACAAGGGCATGCCGTGTTCAACAAAACCTATTTCAGGATCCTTATTATTCAGTGTGTAAATGTAATGGTTGCATTATTTTTAACACTTGGAATCTAATTTTCACTGCAGCCATGGAATGCACTATGATAAAAAGAGAAATACTGAATTACCTTGATCTCAATTTGTTTCTCATAATCTGGTGCGATTCAGTTGTAACTTGGCTATTTCTGATTCATACAATAAATTACAGAGCTGGTACTTAAGTTTTCATGGGATGAATCTCAGCCATTGCATTATTTCTCTTTCAACTTGACAAAGGGTAGCACAGATCAGATTTGTTGTGGTCTGTTCATTCTTACTGTGACAAGTCACAAAGGAGGCAGATACCTGATGGGAATAAGAAGAAAAATCCAGGTGAGGGAACTGTGCAAAGTGCAAAACTAGTGGTTGCATGGTACGTGCGGTTAACAGTGTGCAAAGCAACTGTGATGCTGTCATAGCTGCATTGCAACAGTAGCACTTTGTGACTCAGGTCAGCTGACCCAACAGGACCCTCACATTCACCTATCCATAAGGTCTGTTGACTTACAGAATATCATGTGGGTAGGCTCTGAATGTGGTCAAGTGAAAGACAAGGTATATAAAAAATGGGAACAAAATTCCTATGAAACATATCTTGTGCCAGGGAGAAATTCAAATGTTGGTTGCTGATCTCTTGTCTCTTTAATGGTGTGGGGGAAAACTCTTTTAAAACACTTGCAGGTGGTAGTTGCACCCCAGATATGGGGGAAAGTGTTTTAATGGATAATATTTTCTTCTATTCTTGGGGTGTCCTTTGGTTGAAATGCATTGGGATGACATAATAGCTGAAATCAACCTGATAATTTAGTATCTAGTTGTGAAAGGTCTACAACTCTGTCTTCTTTCATTGTTTTGTGGAGAAAATGGGGTTGCTCACAAACCACCTAATGCAATACAGTACATGCTGGTGGCAGCAAACCTTGTAATTCCACAGCACTGGAAAGAAGCAGCTGGTTTAACCATTACTTTTATTATTATTTATTAAATTTCTATACCGCCGAACTCTGGTGGGAAAAAAAGATATATTGAGCCTTGGTATTATGGTGAATTTAACCTGTTGAGAACTTCAAGAAACCATAAAGCCATGTGTTTATTTGATAAAACTTGGCAAGAATTTATTTCCTTTATTAACAAAAATGATGCAGAGCCGGAATAATACGCCTGCTTTTGAACCTCAAATATCCACTGGAGAAACCCATCATCTGCAATTTAACCAGGACGAACAAGAATTACCTTTATCTGCAATAAAATAAGACAGGGCAGTATTATTTTTAGTTTAATTATTAAGCTACTTCTTTGTACTCCACAATGTACCTGTTTACCTATGTATCCCTTCGTCATTATATGCAGATGGTTTTATTGCATTCTCCACCTTACTGTTTTGTTTCATATTTGAGTTGTTTATATATATATATATATAATATTTGTTTTCGTAGATTTTCACGGGTACAGGAATGCAGGTTTTGGTGTCCTCGGGTGTCTTCCCGTGTAAAAGTTGGGGTGTCTAGGCGAAACGTCGAAACGTCGCCTAGTCGAAACGTCGCCTAGACACCCCAACTTTTACACGGGAAGACACCCGAGGACACCAAAACCTGCATATATATAATATATATATATATATATATATATATATATATATATATATATATATATAGACGCTGAGCTTATGCAGACCAGCGAGCTTGCTGGGAGCCAGATGTCAATGCAGTAATTATGGGGTTCCCATTCTGAGGGTGGGGGTTTGTTTTGTTGTTGTTTTGTTTTTTGCTGCACAGCTGTCAAATGAAAGCCTGGTGCTTTTAGGTAAGAAGCCTTCATGTGCAAACATCACAGGTATCTGTAGTTAGCACATTAACTGACCTGGTAAATCACCTTAAATTGGGGGATAATGTGTTTTCTAATATGGCACAGCTTTTCTTCCACTATGTCAGAGGACTACAATGCCCTGTCCAGCAACGAAAGAAAATAAATTCCTCTTTTATAATTTCTGTTCACCTGCTACAATACTTAGATCTGTGCTACACTCTATGCAGCATCATGAGCAATCAGGAATTTACTGCATTAAACATTTAAGCTGTGAACAGAAGACACACTTCTCCAAATACTGAGGGGCAAGTGGTAGAAATGCACAAGGAAGGTACATTGTTCTGTATTTAACTAAATATTCTTATAGACAAAAGATATTACCCCCAAATGTTTTAGAGCCAGGTTTCCTTCTTGACTTCGATTGATGCAGCCCTGTTGGCCAATTGCAACTTAAAAGAGGGAATGTGACACAATTCAGGATTTTCCAGATCAGGTATCTTCAGCCTTTTTGGACCCATGACCTAGTTTTAACACAAGCATGTATTTGCGGATTCATTTCTTAAATCTTTTGCTCTATATTTGCATGGTGGTAGTGTTCCTGTTGAGACCCACCTTAGATCAGGCTGTGACTCGCCAGGTGAAGACCACTGGTCTAGATCAGCCCTCCCCAAGCTAGTGGGTTACAATCATCCCTGACTGTTGGCCATACCAACATAGGCTGATGGGAATTGTAGTCCAAAACATCTGTAGGGCACCAGGTTGGGTGAGGCTGGTCTAGATTATGTGCACAATCTCTTATTGCATAAATATGTCTTAGCCCATGCATTCTGTTGGCTGTTTACCATTAACTATGATACTGATGTTGTTGTTGTTGTTGTTTATGATGTTCCTCAGTCACTGTCAACAAACCAGATTGCCAGTCTCTGCAAACTTTCAACATCAGAAATGCCACGATGAATGTCAGGCTATTAACCATGTTGGAAGGTGGAGATTCTTTTGAACTTTATTCTTTGTTGAATCACCATGCCAGTTCAAAGCAGGGTGATCACACAACCTCAGGCCCACTTGTGACTCATGACTGAATACACATTCATCATGTAAGCAGTTTGTCTGATGGGATAATCATGGATACCTAAACCCAATAGCCAGTCACTGGTTTAACTCAACATGGCATAAAAGTGTTGTTGTGCTTTATAGCAAACCCTAACCAGATTTTCTTCATAGGATTTCAGTGATTTTTTTACTCAGAAGTCAATATATTGAGTTGGTAAGGCTCATTTGACATCAAGACAAAACTGAGCCTTCATTGTTATTGGCCCTCTCTTGGAGAATGCTCTTACAAATGAGATTCAGCAAGCACCTTCTATTCTAAACATTTGCTGAAAACTTTTCTTTGCTGCGGAGTTATGCAAATGATTAAGAGAAGCATTTTTGCAATACTCAGCTGGTAATCTATTTTATTTCTTGTGTGATTCTGATTGTATTATAATTGATGTCAACAACTCTGGTTTTTTCCACAACTCTGAAATTGTGGTATACACATATTTTATAAATAAATAAATATATGTTTAGAATTGCACTGTTCATTTGTTGACATGGCAAAGCATCAAAGTATTTCACATTAATTCCAACTTAAAGGACTAGAAGAGCCATAAACTGATGGATGCACATTAATATTGTTCAGGTATGTCCAGCTAATAGCAGATCTATGTAATAATGTACCCCTCTGTATCTTTTTTTTCCTGGCTTCTAGGGTCAAAATGTATTTGGACTTGATATAATTGAGACGCCGGAGGGGGACAAGTGGCCCCAGTTGATAGTACAGCAGGTCCTTGACAGGGAGCAGAAGGATACCTATGTGATGAAAATTAAAGTGGAAGATGGCGGCAACCCTCCACGATCCAGCACTGCTATTCTCCAAGTAACAGTCACTGATGTGAATGACAACCGCCCAGTGTTCAAGGAGAATGATATTGAAGTCAGTGTTCCTGAAAGTGCCCCTGTAGGCACCTCTGTCTCTCAGCTTCATGCTACTGATGCCGATCTGGGCTCAAATGCCCAGATCCACTTCTATTTTAGCAGCCAAATCACCACCTTGGCCAAAAGGCTGTTTGCCATTGATAACACCACAGGTCTCATCACCATCAAGGAACCACTGGACCGGGAGGAATCTCCAGTACACAAGTTAACAGTCTTAGCAAGCGATGGCAGTTCAACACCTTCAAGAGCAACAGTGACAGTGAATGTCACAGACATTAATGATAACATCCCATCAATAGACACAAGGTACATTATCAACCCGGTGAATGGGACTGTGCTTTTGTCAGAGAAAGCACCACTCAATACTAAAATTGCCCTGATTACTGTAATGGATAAGGATTCTGAGCTTAACGGCAAAGTTACCTGCTACACTGACCACGATGTGCCATTCAGGTTAAAGCCTGTGTTTGATAATCAGTTTCTGCTGGAGACAGCCACATTCCTCGACTACGAGGCCACCCGGGAATATGCCATTAAAATAGTGGCTTCTGATTCGGGGAAACCACCTTTGAACCAGTCTGCAATGTTGCTCATCAAAATCAAGGATGAGAATGACAATGCACCAGTGTTCACGCAGCCTGTCATTGGACTGTCTATCCCTGAGAATAATGCTCCTGGCACCCAGCTGACCAAGATTAGTGCTACAGATGCAGATAGTGGGCGCAATGCTGAAATCAGCTACATGCTGGGCTTGGACGCACCACCCATCTTCAACCTGGACCGCCGTACAGGCATTCTGACAGCAGTGAGAAAGCTGGACAGGGAAAAACAGGACAGATACTCATTCACTGTGCTGGCGAAAGATAATGGGATGCCACCCTTACAGACCAATGCTACTGTGACAGTTTCAGTCTTGGACCAGAACGACAACAGCCCTGCCTTCACCCATAATGAGTATAATTTCTATGTACCAGAAAACCTACCCATGTATGGCACTGTTGGGCTGATCACTGTGACAGACGCAGACTCCGGAGAGAACGCAGCCGTGACCTTGTCTATATTGAATGGCAAAGATAATTTCATTATTGATCCTCTCACTGGAGTCATACGGCCTAATATTACCTTTGACAGGGAACAGCAAGGTTCTTATACCTTTCAGGTGAAGGCTGTGGATGGAGGGAGGCTGCAACGCTCATCAACTGCCAAGGTGACCATCAATGTGGTTGATGTGAATGACAACAGGCCTGTTTTTGTCATGCCTTCATCTAACTACTCGTATGACTTGGTTCCAATAACCACCAGCCCGGGCTCTGTAGTCACAAAGGTGTTTGCCATTGACAATGATACAGGGATGAATGCAGAGCTTCGCTATAGCATTATTGGTGGGAATTCACGGGGATTGTTTATGATTGACCAGTTAACAGGCAATGTTACTTTGAAAGAGAAGGTCATATCGGCAGATCATGGGTTACACAGGCTGGTTATCAAAGTCAATGATTTAGGACAGCCTGAGTCACTATATACTATAGCACTGGTGCATTTATTTGTGAATGAAACTGTCACCAATGGATCCTATGTCCAAGAGTTAGTGCGCCGAAACATGGAAACTCCAGTTGGCCAAAACGTTGGGGATGGTGAGATAACTCCACAGACAAACGACTATGTCAAGATCATAATTGCTATCATTGCTGGTACCATGACAGTAATACTGGTCATCTTTGTGACTGCCCTGGTGCGATGCCGTCAAACACCCAGGCACAAGGTTGTCCAGAAAAGCAAGCAGAGTGGTGAGTGGGTTTCTCCAAACCAAGAAAACCGTCAGATCAAGAAAAAGAAGAAGAAGAAGAAGCGCTCTCCCAAAAGCCTTCTTCTCAACTTTGTGACCATCGAAGAATCTAAGCCTGATGATCCTGGCCATGAACATATCAATGGCACTCTGGACATTCCCGTGGAGCTGGAAGAACAGACTATGGGAAAATATAACTGGGCCACCACACCAACAACCTTTAAGCCTGACAGCCCAGATTTAGCAAAGCACTACAAGTCTGCCTCGCCACAGCCCACTTTCCAAATAAAACCCGAGACTCCAGTGGCACCGAAGAAGCACCATGTCATTCAGGAACTGCCTCTGGATAACACCTTCGTTGTGGGCTGCGATTCACTCTCTAAGTGCTCCTCCAGCAGCTCAGACCCTTACAGTGTCTCTGAATGCAGCTGTCAAGGAGGTTTCAAGACTCCAGGCTCCATCCACAACAGACAGGTAATGCCAAGTTGCTCACTTACACCTTTCTCTCTGCTTCTCTCCTTTCCTTTTGCTTTATCTTTTTCTTCCTTTTTATTTCGCTGTGCCTTTTAAATCTTTATATATAAATATATAAACCTTAAGCATTCATGCTCGGCTGAAGCACTGAGAAGTAAACAGTTTGTGATCCATCAATACTAAATGGAAGAAAATGAGAATGAAGTGACTCTTGGCTATCAGGAAATTTTGATTGCTGAATGAGCATATTTAGAAGGTAATTCCTGTCTGCAGATGGCAGTGTGGCACTTCTCGCTTTGCATAGAGGATAGCAGTAGCTTAGATCTGCAGAACAAAAGAGAGGTTACGGGCCTGTCCTCGCTAGCCTCCTTTGCTTGGGAATCTAAGCAATCTAGGCCAGGTGGAAAGCAATAAAGCTTTGCAGGATCTGATAAGTGGTTCTTAATGTTAATGGAGTCTGGAATTGCAGACTTCTTTGGTTGGAGCCGTACCTCAAGGTCTCTCAGCAAAAAAAGAAGAAGAAAGCAGGCTGCCCCCCTCAACTCCCCTTAATGGACTGAGTGCCTTTTTCCAGGCTAGGAATATACACTGCTGTCTTGGTTCCTAAAAGCTGGGCACCTGACACAACTGACAGCATGAAACAGCCCTGAAGTTAAAGGGGGAGGAAAAGATAATATCAGAGGCATTACAAATGCTGCCCAGCTTTTACAGACACTACACTGTAAATTTAGTCTCCCATGTCACTGGCTAAAGCACAGTCCAGGCTTATGTGTTAGAAGGGGTTGGGTAGAGTGCAACTACACAGTGTTTAGCTTTTTAAGTTAATAAAGAGAGTGCATGAGAAGCACACCTCTAAATGGTGATTCTAAAAAGCTGCATTGTTTCCATTAAAATAATAATTTTAAACTTCAGTATTATCAGTAATACTAGCAGCATACGCTGGGATGGACTTTGGTCTTTGGAATTTCAGCACGCTCCCCCGCCTCTCACCTTCTGTTCTGCACAATCATACTTGCAATGCCCTGCAGCTCATTGCCCAGTGCAACGTTGCCCTAAGTCTACCTCTGGATATGCTTACTGTTGCAGTGATGCTTGTCTGGCTTTCAAGGAGCTGATCAAACAAAAAGACTCTCTTAAAAAAGAAGTGTTGCAGCAGCAAAGGTGTGCTGCCCATTTCCCTCCATTGACCATTACTTCGGTTGTGTTGTAATGACTTGTCTCAGTTGAGAATGGGGTCTTTGAATTTCATTTGCTTCTTCTTGGGCAACTGACAATGTAGTTAAGGGGGAAGGAACTTAAAATACCCGCCTCCCTAAAACTTTTCTACACCTTTTTATGGGTGTTGATTGAAGGAAGGCTTCATCTTTTTCTTATGCCTAAAGCACAGCTTCAGCAGTAGTTACAATTTCTGTGATATAAGACACAGAGAGATGCTTAGTGAACTGTTATTTTAAGTCGAATTTCTTTTTTTTAAAAAATGCTCAGCGTCTGTGAATGGAAATATTTTTGAGTGCTGTCCTGCTGACTCAGGTTGGTTATATTTAATCACTAAAGGAAACTTTGGGCTTATTCAAATCAGAGTGAGATTCAATCACGGCTCAGAAAATATATGAAGGGAATGTGAATATTGGACGGTTTCCAAACAGAACAAGTGGCACATGCAATGAAATGATGTGGAATGTAGGGAGCTGCCTTATGCAGAGTCAAACCAGTGGTCCATCTAGGTCAGTATAATCCACAGGATTTCAGGCAGGGAAGACTTCAGCCCTACCTGGACATACTGGGGATTAGACCTGGGTGTATCGTCATGCAAAGCAGATGCTCTACCATCTAGCTATGGACCTTCTGCAAACTTCTCCTCATCCCAAGAGGAGTTATGTTGTTTTAGGCACTAGGCATTCTGGAACAAGAGCCCAGTAGTGATGTTCAGACCTCACCTGGGTTGGTACAGGGCTCAGGAAGGAGAAAGGAATGACTTCTCACACCATCTGTCCTGAGGTTTCTCCAAGCTATGCTGAATGACCAGAGAGTTAATCATAGGAAAGTCCTATTGCCTGTGACCATGGAGAGTTGCTGCTTCCCTAACTGGGTGCCCTATGAGTGCTATTGCTCCAGCACCCATAATTCCTAATTCTTGGCCATGCTGGCTAGGGCTGGTGGAAGCTGGAGCACAAAATGTCTGGATGCAACCAGGTTGGAAGAAGGTGATTTAAATGATTGAACTTAGAGATTCCATTTCCTCTTCCTCTATCCCTTCCACTCCCAAGCTATTAAAAGTAAACTTGACATTCTACTTTTAAGACATTACTAACAATTGCAACTATTGTATGACAAATGTGGGAAACAGAAACAAAGGTTATATTCAGCCCTGGAATCATTTCCCTTAATCCAGATACCGTATTTTTCGCCCTATAGGACACACTTTTCCCCCTCCAAAAATGAAGGGGAATGTGTGTGCGTCCTATGGGGTGAATACAGGCTTTCGCTGAAGCCTGGAGAGCGAGAGGGGTCGGTGCGCATCAACCTCTCTCGCTCTCCAGGCTTCAGGAAGCTCTGCGCAACCCTCGGGAGCCCGGCTCCAAGCCGTGCCGGGCTCCGGAGGGTTGCGCAGAGCTGCCTGCGCTCCCGGGCTCCGTGCAGCTCTGTGCAACCCTCGGGAGCCTGGCGGGAAGCCGCGCCGGGCTCCCAAAGGTGGCGCAGAGCTGCCTCCATTCCGAAACCTCGGGCGTGCTGAAGAGTGTGCCCAGGCTTCGCGCAGCTGTCCGCAAGCCTGGGGAGACCGGTGCGGCTCCCTAGGCTTGCGGATAGCAGGCTGTTCTGGGGGCTGGGGTCAGGGGAAGCTCGGGCGTCCTATGGGGTGGAAAATACGGTATATAGATTAAAGGACTGGGTGCAGCAAGGCTGCTATTGTGTGGGGGCTAACCAGGGAGGAGAGAAGAAGAAGAAGAAGAAGAAGAAGAAGAAGAAGAAGAAGAAGAAGAAGAAGAAGAAGAAGAAGAAGAAGAAGTAGAAGTAGTCATCACTTTGGAATAAAATAGGCTACAACATTATTGATTATAGATGTAAGCAGGTTTTGGAGTAGGCATTGGTGTGTATCTGGAATCACCCAGCATAACTGCTGTTTGATTCTCAGTCAGAGCTAATCTCAGTTTAAGGATCACCCTGTGACATTCATCAAAGCAGGGTGTCTTCTGAGATCACCATTTGGGGAGAGTATCCTGGGAAATCAACCGCTGTCTGGGCACCAGGATCAAAGTACCTCCCTTTGGCCCTTTAATGAAGTACCCACATCCAATGGAGCGTGAGGTGAGAGTCCTGCTCACCTCCCAGCCCACCTTGACCAAATGCCTTACCCACCCATGTTGTGACAGTTGCTACGAAGAAGGCAAAATCTCTCAGCTGGTCCAATTTGCCTGGAGGACAAATTCCTCCCTGGCCCCAAATATGGTGACCCAGTGCTTCCATTGCAAGGTCCTAATTGCTTTCTGCTCACTAATGCTCAAACAGAACCATGGCAAGACATGAAGGGAGGGTGGGGAAGTTAACCACCAACTAGACCCAGGGCAGGAGGTGCATTCCGGCTTTACCCAGGTTCACTCTGAACCCTTGCGCCTCTTGGGCCTCCTGTGATTGCCTGGATGGAGGACCAGAAGCCTGTGTGACCATTGGGGAAGAAATGTTGTCCCCCACTCAGCTGCACAGGAAACCAGCACTCACCCCCCCCTGCTCCTAGTGCAACCGTGGTCCATAGGAGGCTGCAATCGCTGCACACCAGGGGTAAGCGGTCCTTAGTCGGATCCAACTCAACCATTCAGACTGAACATAGTAGCAGTATAGAAAAGGGATTCACGGCATTTTGAGCTGTAATGAATACAGGGCTGAAGGGTATACTTTCTTACTTCCCTGCCTACTCATCCAAATGTGTGTTAACCTCCACTGGTTATCAGTTTCAGGATTATTTTATTATGAGGACCTGCTCCCTGCTTGGGAGGGTATTTTTATCTGACCTGGGAGGGCAGGACCCAGATGTAATCCAGCTACAAAAAGCTGGAACAAACTCATGGGTTGGGGCAGTGTCTAAGGGGGTCCTCTTGGGGACTCTGTTACTGGCTTTACTACCCCAGCTGTTTAAAGTAAATGGCTTTTGATCTGTGGGTTTTAAATTTTGGGTTTGTTTTTGTTTTAAATAAAAGGATGTAGGATGTGTTTAGGAAGAGAGGAGCAGGAGAAAGCTGGGGGGGTGTCACAGTGGTCCAGAGCAGGAGGAGATACTGTGGGAAAGATGTGTAAGGGACACATGGCACAGGCAGTTGGTGCCTGCTGTGTGCCAGCCCCTCCTCCAACTTGTGGTTGTGCTATCAGCCAGTCCTCCCTTCTACAGCTGCTTTTGCTGAATGCCAGGGCTGAGGAAGACCTTTCTGATCTGATTATGAACATGGAGGCTGATTCAGCCTGTATAACTGAGACCTGGGTGAATGAGCATGCTAGAGGTGACCCCACCTCTTCTGCCCAGCTCGGTACTTGGTGCAGCATCAGGGCAGTCTTGAGGGTCATTGTCACAGGAGTGTGCCATCAGTAAATCATACCATTCACAATTGGTGTTAACACTTTATTAGCAAAAACACAATCTCCACATACTTTGTCAAGTTTCAGGCTTAATGAGCAGAGCAACTCATCCCTAGTAGGTCTGGCCCCATGAATCAGTTGCCAAGACTGAAAGTCCCCACCTCTTCAAGCCATCTAAGTCCCTGACACCCAGAGGCTTTTTCAAGCAATTGGAGACTGCACCTGCATACAACCAGCCTCTCATCCATGCCTCTTCTGGTTCTGGCAGACCAGAGGGGAGAGGGGCTTGTAACAGGATGAGGGTGATATACCAATGACTCTTTGCCAACCAGACTCATCTCTGTCTCTTGGCTTCCTTTCTCCCCTGCTTCAACTTCTGCCTCTGATTCTTGACCGCTCTCTGCCACGGACTCTCCCAGCTCACTAAGCCCTGTTACCTCTTTAGCTTCTGACACCTCCTCATCCCAGTCTTCTCCCTCTTTTCCCTTTGACCACTCATCATTGTCCCACCATCACTCTCTAGACTCTGAGCCTTCTTCCCTTGGTGGTTCCCCAGCTGGTTCCTCCCACCATTCCTCTGTGGCCAACCAATCCATGACAGTTGGAGAGAGGGAGTTTCTTTGGTTTATAGAGATTCTCCCTCTCTCCAGGCTCTCTGTCCAGCTGTGGGACAGAGTTCCTGGCACTGGGAAACTGCGACAAAGTAGGGATTCTGCTGATTTGTCACTCACTCCGCTCCTCAGCAGTCTCCCTGCATGAGTTGACAGAGATGGTCTCAGAGGCAGTACCTTGGTTGTTGAACGCCCGGGAACTCGGACGTTTTGGCTCACGAACGCCACAAACACAGAAGTGATTGTTATTGTTTGCAAATGTTCTTTTGGAACCTGAACATCCGATGAGGCTTCTGTAGCTTCTGATTGGCTTCAGGGGCTTCCTGCAGCCAATCAGAAGCCACAATTTGGTTTTTGAATGTTTTGAAGTCGAACGGACTTTCAGAAAGGATTTCATTCAACTTCCAATGTACGACTGTATTGAGGACTCAAAGACTGCTGGTTCTGGGGGACTTCAACATCCACTGCCAACGTGACTGGTGTTGGGGTGGCTCAGGTCTTTGGGCTGCCATGATGACTATGGGCTGTCCCAACATATTAGTGGCCCAATGCATATGACAGGCTACACTATGGAGCTTGTTTTCTCAGTTGCACAGGAAGCGTGTGATTTGCAAATATTGACACCAGTCCCTTGTCATGGTCAGATCACTTCCTGTTGAGATTTAGGCTTTCAGCACCTTTCCCCCTCTGCAAGGGTAGGGGACATATGAGGACAGTCTGTCCTTAGAGACTGATGGATCCAATGGGTTTCCAAATGTCTCTGGGGGATTTCCTGCCTGATATGACTGACACTCCTACCAAAGCCCTGGCTTACCTCTGGAACATCTGAATGGCTCAGGTCATTGACATGGACACCCCGATCACCCTCTCCCATGGGGGGGGGCTTGTGTTATACCCCAGAGCTTAGAACGAGGAAATGAGCTGGGAGATGGCTTGAATGTGAGTGGAGGAAAGATCTGGTGGAATGCAAGTGAACAATGATGAGAGCTCTTCATGGAGCCTACCTAATGGTAGTGAAGGCAGCAAGGAAGGCATACTTTGCTGCCTCCATTGCATCCTCACTCTGCCATCTGGCAGAACTGTTCTGGGTAGTGCAGCATCGTTTACATTCTGGCCTAAAGGAGGTGGTGGGATCAATGGTGGTGGGATTAATGGTAGCTTCTCACTGTGTTTGCAAAGCATTTTGAAGACCAAATTGCTTGCATCCACTAGGATCTTAATTCTGTGGCTACAGCGGATTACTCTCAAGGGGTGTCCAGAGCACTTTCTAGTCCTGTTGTGTTGGACAACAGTTTCAGTTAGTAAGGCTCGAGAATATGGACAAGATGCTTGGATCAGTTGTGGATATGGACAAGGTGCTCTGGACCCTTGTCCCTCTTGACTGATTAAAAATAGTGGGGGGGGGCAGCTGGCTGGGTCAGGGAGGTGATTAATGCATCCTTGTGGGAGGGCGTTGTTTCTGCATACTTAAAGATAAAACCTCAAGAAACGCTCCCTTGATTAAGAAAATCTAAGCAACTACCAACAAGTTGCTTATCTCCCCTTCATGGGCAAGGTTCTTGAACAGGTGATTGCGGACCAGATTCAGGCATGTAACCTCATCAAGAACAGACAGTCTCCCAGCCATCCATGCTAGGTAACCACCCACCAGCAGTGTCTCAGTCTTATCTAGATTGAGCTTTAGTTCTTTAGCTCTCATCCAATCCATTACTGAGGCAGGGCAACCAATAGCTGCTGCAGGTACTCAGAGATATACTAGCACACTTCTTCCATCCTCCCTCAACCTGAGGAGTTTGTGGCAGCTTAATGATGAGTAAATCTACCTTATCCAGAGACTAGTGTGGCATACCCTCCAAATGTCCTGATTTTCCAGAGACAGTGCCAGAATTGTTAAAGCCTTTCCGGCACGTGTGCTGTGTCCCACTGGTGTGGTGGTGATGGGGCTTACCCTTCTTCCAATAGGAAATGCTTTGGGGGGGGGGGAATGGAGGTCAAGGAGGTTCAGTTGGGTGTGTGTGAGAAGTGTCCCCATTTTCATCTGAGGAATGTTGGAGGGTCTGATGTCCCGGCACTATCTAGGATAGATTGTCTGCATCTAAGCTGAATGCAGTTCTGAGCCTGGCCCTCCTCTGAAGTTGCCACTTACCGTATTTTTTGCTCTATAAGACTCAGTTTTCCCCTCCTAAAAAGTAAGGGGAAATGTGTGTGCATCTTATGGAGTGGATGCAGGCTGCACAGCTATCCCAGAAGCCAGAACAGCAAGAGGGATTGCTGCTTTCACTGCGCAGCAATCCCTCTTGTTGTTCTGGCTTCTGAGATTCAGAATATTTTTTTTCTTGGTTTCCTCCTCCAAAAACTAGGTGCGTCTTGTGGTCTGGTGCGTCTTATAGAGCGAAAAATACGGTACTTTTTTCTTGCATTAAATCCAAGCAAATTAGTAAAAAGAGGAAGAAAAATATTTAAGGTTTATTTACGAGTGTTTGTGTCACACCCTTCCTACATAACTACAGTACTCAGGGTGACTCAGTGCAAGTTGAAAAACATTTTAAAGTTGAGAGTTCACTTTTTCTGTTCTGCACCTCTTAACATATGCGACCACTAAGTGTGTGTGCCTTTGGTATCAATTCATTTACCATTTCAGGTAAAGCTGAATTTGCACATGCAGAACTGCTGCTTGAGTTCCCCAGTTTGGTTTGTTGGCATTCCAGCAGGCTGTATCCATTCTTATATGGTATGGGTTGCACTGAAAATCAAGCCAGCCAATTTTACATATGCAAACTGGGTCCAAAAGTTAGCATTTTTGCACTGATGCACTTTGGAAAATTTAACTATGCTTGCTGTAGGAACAGGACCTTTGTGTGTTTGACTCCTTTGCCATTACTCTGCATTGATTTTCTCCAGCCCTGCTTTCATGCATACTTTTGACCATTCTTTACTATTGCACTTTACAGTGAGATCATGACGATTTAGTTAGGATATTTTATGTTAATTGCTCTGCTTTGTTTCAGTCTTCTTTCTTCCCATATTCCATCTTTCCCAATATTATTTTCTCACAATATTTTGAACATATGCTATCTTGATATCAGGAATCTAAAAACAAGTTCTTAAACACGATGACAATGCACGGTTGGTGGGTAGGAGGGAGGGACGTGGATGTCCTCTGTTTTTATTTGTACAGACCTTCCTCAATTTCAGAAAATTCTAACAAAATGGGGGGTTAAAATATGTTGCAGTGAGTCCCTTGAGTGCATGACATTTTATAATTATATACATTTACAAGGCCTGAAGCCTGCTGTGCCACATATTTTGGCAGAAGAGTTGCATTGTAATAAGTAATGTATCTCCACTAAGGGCATGTATGTACTATGATCTTATGTTGATTTAAAGCCATTTGCTAGTCATGTCTTTCCCCAAAGAATCCTGGGAATTGTAGTTTGATGAATGTGTCAAGAGTCCTTTAATGCAATGCTTAGTTAGCACCCCTTCCCCACCCCCTCCACCTTCACAGAATATATAACTAAAGTCTCCAGGGAATGACCCCTTGCAGGCATTGGCTAATGTGTTGCTCCCTTGATATTGAAATGCATCTTTCACCATTCCTGACAGCTGCCCACACTGACTGGGGCTGAGGTCTGGAATTCAGCAACATCTAGAGAGCACCATGCTGGCTACTTAGCAAATCTATCCTTTATATAGATCCTGATATGTCTCTTAGTAGGGCAGCTTGGAGGGATAGCTGTTATATCCAGATAAACCCGAACAGCAAGCATCCTGTAAATCAGGGATGGGAAATCAGTTGTCATCCTGATATTATAGGAACACAACTCCCATAATTCCTTACTATTGACCACGCTGGGAGGGACTGATAGGAATTGGTGCCCAACCACATCTGAGTGGGGGGCACAGGTTCCCCAAGCCTGCATCTCCCATATGAATGCTTTAAATCTGAATTGCCTATCTAAATCTAAAAATAGTAAAATCTCCCAAGCCCCTCCCCATCCCCATGACAGTATTAAGCTAGTTGATAGCTGCCAAGCCAACTTTTAAGGTAGGGTTGGAGATGTGATGATGAAGGCAGGGGCTTTTCTCATGCTGTTTCTCTGTTTGCCAGCTCTGAACGTCTTCGCATCAGCTGTTAAGTACTGAAGTCGTATACACAATGATGTTAAGCCAGCAAACATGGAAATATGGGAATAGCACGAGAAAGCCCTTTGTCCTCTCTCCCTGATTGCTGAAGAATTTTATCGTCTGATCTCCAGAGGGGTTTTCGAAGTGGCGGTGAACTGTTCAAGCTGCCCTACTGAAAGGTATTCAGGGCAAGAACGCTAAGACAGAAAAGGAAAGAAAAGAAAGACAAAGAGAGACTTGAGAACATTGTGCTATAAGTGTTCGATAATGTAGGGGTTTTCCCTAAGGCAAAATAAGTGATATTAACCATCACTGGGTGTGAATGGTGGTAACTATATAAGATAAATCTTTTTATTCTCTTATGTTGCTGATAGCCACTTTGTCCTTAACGGACTAATGCCCTTAACTTATTTATGCTGAGGATATATGTTGTCCATGCTCCCCTCCCTTATAGCAGGGATGGGGAACCTGTTCCTTTCCAGGTGTTGCTGGACTGCAACTCCCATCAGCCCCACCCAGCATGCCCAGTGGTTAGGGATGGTGGGTTGCATAGTCCAGCAACACCGAATAGCCACAGGTTCCCCAATCCCACCTTATGCCTTCTCTCCCATATACATGATGATAAAGGAGCAATAACTTTTAGGCATATACATCCCAAAAAAGAAAAAAGACAAAGTAAAATTATCTATACTCCCTGCATTTCTTGGTAAAATGCTTTGTCTCATATGCTCCAGAATGAGAAATTATTGTTGGTTTATTTTTTATTTTTTTGGGTGGGGGGGAGGGGGGTTGTTGTAAGAAATACTTTTTTCCGCTATGCAGGATAGCCAGATATGAGCATTTTACAGTGCTTTGTCGATCTTAAAATGCCAAATGGCTCTTTCCACTGGCTTAACAGGCTATCAATCCTCAGCATAGTGGAAAGTCAGCTGCTAATGCATTTTCTCCATGACACACATCATGGAGAATGTGACGGACGGTTCCATGTGCAGCAGGGGTAGGAAACATGGGGACCTCCAAATATTGCTGGACTCCAATTCCCATCAGCTCCAGCCAGTAGCGTCAATGGTCAAGGATGATGGGAGTTATAGTCCACCACAATGGGTACCCTTGCTGTACATGGAACACCCACCTCCACATGTTGCATCCATGGGGTGGGGGAGAGTTGTATATCTGCTCCTCTATCATAGGTCCACTAGGCCTCCAAGCCTAAACATGTGGAATGGGAAGTAAGTCCCATTGATTTCAATAGGACTTACATCTGAGTAAACATGCATAGGATTGTGCTGCATGTTGTATGAACTGGACCCAAGAGAGGGTGTACCTCGTACTTGCAATTCCGTATAGATATATGTATAGTATACACTTGTAGCCAGCCTCTCTCATTCTTTTTTTTATTATTCTAACTGTTAAGCTTTTCGATGAAAGCTTATTTTATATTATGCTGGCTAGCATTTTTAAGAGTACCTACTTAGGCACAATTTAGATGGCACGCCCTTCCCCAATATTTAAGCAAAAGGTCTTGCATTTAGTGTGATTTAAAAAAATAAATAAATCAAAACCTTAACTACCACTAGTACAAATAAATAATAATACTGCTGCCTAGCATTAAAATGGCTGCCTTTTTAGGCAATTTGGCAAGATCACTGAATTTATCTTTGGTTAGCATAAGATGTAACATTTTCATTTTTTGGTTGTTGCTTATTACATGTTTAAAATGTGTACTATGCCTATCACAGTTTGCATTAATGTGTTGCATTAATGTGTTGCATTGTATCATCCTTGGGCAATAATGTAAAAGAATGTACACTTCATGTAACAGTGTTTGGATTGGTGCAGGATTCATTGAGCACAGTCCACCTAGAACTTTGACTGTGGATATCCCACTGAAAAGTAGGATTCTACAAGAGCACAGAAATGGTTCTATTATCTTCAAATGTTTTGAACAATATTCCTACTGGATTGCACTCAGTGCTTTTAAAAAAGGGGGAAGGAGTAAAAAGGAAAAAAAGAACTGGATTTTTTTTGTCGTTGTATGAATGCTAATATAAAATTGGATAGCTAGATGGCAGGGGAAGGGGGAAGAGGTATCTGTCCCAATCACATATTAATTGTGCGCCTAGATCAACAAGAAATTGCTCCACGGGAAGCACTTTTGCACAAGAAAAGCAAATGTAGAAGTGCCACGTGCTTCCACATTTTAAACACGTGTCTCTTGAAAAAAAGAAATGCATAAGCTCCATAAAATTTAAATCTTTTATATTTGCCTGGAGCCCACATTGATTTTTTTGGACAAGTCAATGCACAGCAAAAGCTGAGTGCTACTCTCAGTCACATTTCTTTCTACAACATGTTGAGTGCAGTAATCCTGCCAGAGTTAAGCACTCTTAACACACATTGATTTTAAAAAGTAAATGTTAAGCATGTACTCTTCCTTTCATATATTCAGAGTTGAATTTAAAAATAGATAAATAAATAAATAAATTTGTTTACGGCCCAACATCCAAAGAGCCTTGGAAGGTTCACAGCATAAAAATACAAAATAAGATCATAAAATGCATAATGAAACAAAAACACACCAATAACTCCCCTCCCAAAATCTCATTTAAAAGGCCATAGAATATTTGATCAGCCAAAGTCCTGAGTATAGAGAAATGCTTTCAGGTGGTGCCTAAAATTATGTAATGAAGGTGCCTGGCAGACGTTGCTGTGGAGTGCATTCAGCAGACAAGGAGCCACTACAGAAAAGGCCCATTCTCATGTTGCTGCTCTCCAGGCCTCTTGTAGAGGAGGCACCCAATGGGCTTCAAATGATGATCACAGGGTTTGCGTTGTTCATATGGGGAGAGCCGTTTGTAAGGCTTTATAGGTCAAAACCAGCACTTCAAATCAGGCCCAGAAATCAGTTGACTGTCAGTACAGTCAAGCTGGGCTACCAGCTAAAACTGATGGAAGGCATTCTGTGCCATCAAGGCCACCTGAGCCTCAAGCTAACAGCAAAGGACTCAGAAGTCCCCCCACCCAAGCTATATACCTGCTCTTTCAGAGGGAATGTAACCCCATCGAGAGCAGGGCAAATCCCATTGATTAAGTCTAGGGACCCACCCACTAACAGTGCTTCACTCTTCTCTGGGTTGAGCTCCATTTGTTGGTTCTCATTCAGTCCATTACAGAGGCAAGACAATGCCCAGCATATCCACTGCCACACCTGGAGAAGAAAAGCTGTGTTTCATCAGCATATTATTGTCAATGTACACCAAACCTCCGACTGACCTCACTCAGCGGTTTCATGTAGTTGTTAAACAGCATAGGTGATAAAATCCCACATTGAAAGCTCTATGGGGCTGAAGAACACTCCCCAAGCATCACCCTCTGGAAACAACCATCCGAGTAGTACCAGAAGCACCACAAAGTGGTGCCACCCACCTCTAACTCAGAACAGCCACTCCAGAGGGGTACTATGGTTGATGGTATCAAAAACCTCTGAGAGGTCGAGGTCAATTAACATTTCCCTTGTCTCTCTCCCTACAGAGGTCATCAGACAGGGCGACCAACACAGTTTCTGTGCCAAAACCAGGCTTAAACCCCAACTGAAATGGAACTATAAAATCAATTTCCTCCAAGAGTGTATAGATCTAGTCCCACAGTCACTTTTCATTTCAGAATTTACACACCAGTAGACCTGTTCTTACTCTTTCTTGGGTCCTGTTATCTGCACAGTGGTAAACAATGTGAACTGCCCTGAGACCTTCAGGTATAGGGCGGTATATAAATTTCATTCATAATAATGCTAAGTTTCACTTGGCTTTTACAATGTTCCATGTGACTTTTCAAGCAAAGTAGGACAAAAAACAACAACCCACACACAAATGAGTATATTTATTCTGACACAGTCTGCATGGCTTTATTTTGAGATTATTTGCCACCCTAAGACATATTTACTAAGTGGTGTTTTTCGTTTTCTTGGATGATTCTCTTCTAGCAAAATCAATGGGTATTAAAAGTCTCCATCTTTGGCAGGATTGAACCCATGTAAAGGTGCTTCCCCTGGTTCTGATTCTCCAGAGCAAGGGTGAGAAAGTTTTGGCTCTCCTGATATTGCTGAAGTGCAACTTCCATCATACCTGTCACTGATGGGAGTTGTAGTTTGGCAGCATCTGGAGATCCAAAGGTTCTCACTAGCTGCTCCAGGGAAATAAACTGGCAATCCATGGTGGATATTTGAGTTCCCACGTAAACATAGCACTGGATGCGGGTGATGGACTTTATGTATGCTTGCATAAAACAACAACACTACAACACAGTATGCTTAACATTTAATTGAAATTTTAAAAGCTATTGAGGATCCATTAAGTAGGCTGCAAAACTGGAAATCTCACATGCTACTGTATATCTGATGTAACTGTACTTTAAACAGGCTTGCAATGTGATCCTACTTTCTCACCTGTCAAACTGTAGATTGTCAACAAGGACATTTACCTCAAGTTCCCTTCACATGTTTGCTATCTGGCTCTTTTGAAAGGAAATGTTCATTTGGCTCTCTGATCTGTAAAGTATAATAAATCCTATTTATAATGGTATATTGAAATTTATCCTTGCATGGTTGGCATCTGTCTGTCTCAAGAGACAATGGTGTGCACCTCCAGGGGTGAAGTCAAACCAATGGAGAGTCACAGCGCCTGCTGTGGCTGCAGAAACTGGTAACTTGCAACTGCTGCCATGTTGTTTTTGCTGTGTTTGCAGCACCAAAGTGACCTTCCATGGTGCGCAAGCCTGGGCAGTGTTTACTGAGCTCCTCAGATAACATGAGCCCCACCCCCCATCCCGGTCTCGCTGATGTCTTCCAAAGAAAAGGAAAGCAATACATTTGCCACAGCTTGGCTGCAGGAGGTATACAAGATGTCATCCAACCGTCTTAAGGACTTCACTCTGGATTTGCATAGGGTTTACTCCTTAGTCTTTTCTTCTCCCAAAGATGTCCCACAAGATAGCAGGGAAGCAGTTTAGCATATTATGCTAAATATTTGCAGCTGTGGCTGTTGGGCCCCCACTGTTGAGAGACACTATTTAATAACTTGGGAAATAGATTTTCTTCTTTCCACCGGAAATATTTCTGTTTCCCCTTTCCTTTTACATTTCCCCCTTCATTTTGTGGTATTGATCATCAAGCTCAGACTTCAAGAATTCTTGGTGGTGGTCAGAACACACAACACAAATTTCCTTAAAAACAAAACACTGAATTCAACAACAACAAAGGTTTCTTAAACCCCTGTGGTTTATGACAGCTGTTTGTTTCAGGGCCTGCACTTCCATTGTGTGCGTTGATGACCAGTTTAGACTGCTGGAAGGGTTGGGTTCCACCAAAATTCCACCTTGCCCAAATCTTGCAGGATAAGGATTCCCACACGACCCTGAAAGTGGCTAGGTTCCTGGTCGCTGTCCTCTCCCAAAAGCGACGCCAAGGAGCGCTACAAGCTAATTAAGGCGTAGCATGCCTTTCCATCTTATAGTATTTTATTGTTATAGTGGTGTTTTAGCGACTGTTTCTTTTTCTTTTCCCCACGGCACAAGCTGTCACTTATGTGTTGTTTTTACCTGTATGGGCCTATGGCCGTAATAAATATTATCTATCTATCTTGGGTTCCATGGACTGATAAGACTGCAGGTGATGTAGAGGCTGAGGTAATGAACAAGGCCAGAGACTATAGTCCAAGTTGAAAACTAGAGCCAGAGCTGCAATTGCTATGGTTTCAGGGTATGGCTGGTAATCAGCAGACTGGGCAAACCAAAGACTCAACTAGGTGCAAAAGACAGCAAGCAGGAGAAAATTATAAAACAGAGGCTTATTAGGAGGGCAGTCAGTCAAAAAGGACAAATCTGGAACTGTTTTAAAGGAAAAGGGGGGGGATCCTCCCATGTCCAATGAGTTTCAGGCACTCATTGCAAAAACGATGTCACTCCTAAGTAGTTTCACTTGTCCTTGGTAGCATCATTGGACGGTGATGTTGAAGCTTGAAGTTCCTCCTGTTCCCTCCACTGACTCATGGGTCTGATGGCATATGGAGGGAAGAATTGTTCCTGATACCCAGGTTTTTTCATGGGCAATGGCTCCCTCTTGATGTGGAAGAGAATAGGGTGGATGCGGCAGTCCTTTAAGCTGTGGATGTCAGTGTTGCATTCATTGGTGGAGAACATTCACATCGCTTCAATAACATGACCACCACTAGATAAATAATCTAGAATGCATGTGCATTAGTCAAAAGTTCATTCAAAAAAAATGTATATAAGAATTTTGCACTAAAATGCTGGTGGATTTCCACAAGGACTTAAAAAATAATTTGCAAACTGATGTGGAAATATGAATAACTGAATTCAAGACAGGAAAATCAAGAAATGGAGAAAACTGAAACTGACCCATTCATCTATCCCTTGTTGACCCTTGTGTAGCAATGTTGGTGCATGGGAGGATTGCTTAACACACACATACACACACACACACCCCATATTCACCCCACCCAACCATCTAGTTGTCCTTACTTGGTAGGTGGGGAAAAGGATAAGCATCTTTTTCACCTACTGATTCTCCCAATATAGGAATTATGAAGGAAGCATGTGTTTGAAATCCATTTGTGTCCTTTGTAATGTGTAATTCCACCCAGCATATGCATGCTTTTGGAAAAAAATACTGGTGATAGGAGCTCAGAGCGATAACAAATATTATTTTTACACCAAAAACACTCTCCTACATCACTCTGATTTGCTGGGGTTATTTGTGAATGCATGTCTCCCAGAGCTCAGTTCTTCCAAATATAATCTCAAAAACAGATTTATTGCTCACCTGGATTTGAAGTGAGCTAATAGTGCAGGTCAAAAAACAGCACCTAATCTGCAGCTAGTTGAGAGAGCCTGTTGTATGTCCTCCTGTCATGACTGAGTGTGTTATTAGATTCTGAAGGAATTCTCTCCTGTCTACCACAACACTCCCATGGGGTTCCCTCCTCAAAGGAGCAGTGTAATGTGATGCAGGTCTACTCAGAACTAGGTAAATACACATAGGATTTGGGCCTATATAAATTTATTTATGTGTAATATAAGCTATAGTTCGGGGGCATAGACACACACACACACACACACACACACACACTTTCTGTCAAATTGTGACACATAATTTAATGGGTATATCCTGTTGTTGTTTTAGGTAACCTACCAAATACACACACAAACAAAAAATTTAATAAGTACAATGGTTTTTATTTATTTATTTTATCTAAATAAAATGAAGGTTGGACTTTGTAAAGCTAGTGATATATTGCACTTATTTTTATTTGCTTTTTGAAAGAAAAGAAAGAAAGAAAGAAAGAAAGAAAGAAAGAAAGATATCCTGAAGACCACTTGTTACCAAACAGGGTTGGGGGAGAAGGAAGCCTCAGGCTATGTTTCCAGTCCTGGTATCTGGCATTTGCCCTTTCTCTCTTCTGCTCCTTCTGCTCTGGGGGGTTTGGAGGGGGTGGCGGTTAAAATGGTTTGGATTTAAAATAAACTTGACTAATTTGCACTTTCTCTAGCAATACATGAATCAAAGCACAGCCATTTTTTAAAAAAAAAAACCACACTTCTCTGAAATTTACAGTGCAGTTCACCAGCCAAATAATGTATTAAAACACACACTAGGGTATGCTAGGGTAAATTTTGCGTTGTAATGCATATATCAGTGAACATAACATATAAAACAGTGTTATATTAGGGGAAATGGCTGTGCAAAAAAAGAAGAAGTATATATTGGGCAAAATTGGCTGCAGACTTCAGTATACTAGGGTAAATTTGGACTAAAATGCTGAGGTATTTTCATCAGGATTTAAATAAAATAAAATAAAATTGTGAATTATTGTGGAAATATAGAAAATTAAACTTAAGGTTGGAGGTGAGGGGAGTGAAACTAAAAGAAGCGGAAATTGACAGATTTACTTATCCCTATCTTAGGGTGATGGCTGAGAGTGTAAAGTTATGATGGAATCCATGGGGAGAAATTGGGTTTCTCAGAGTCATAAAGCCCCTACAGCAGTGTGTCCCTCAGTGCTGATAATGCTCCATATTCTAGTGGACCACAGTAAGTTCTTGTTTCTCCTTTTTGGAGACGTTTTCAGCAGGCTTCCGGGACATCATTGGATGTGGCCTAACAAAATGGTCATGGCGCACTGGTGATTTCACCCTGTCATATGTCCCTCCCACCTCTTAAAATTGGCTCGGGAGGGTTGAAAGTGCCCCCACAGCACCACATGAGGAGAAGAAGGAGGGGCAATCATTCCACCTGCAAAGCTGAAATGCTTGTGTGAAAGGAACAACCGTAACAGTGCAATGTTGAATTCCACCCAGCATCTCCAAAGGCTTGATATTTGAAAGGGAAACTGAACTGAAACCAGTGTTAAATAAATTATTTAAGTTTAATATCCTGTTTTGATTATAGCTTACTGTAGACAGACAGATAGAAGGATAGAGGGGATCAGTGACTTTTTTTTGTCATAGGTGAGGAAGATATTGAATGTAAATTTAATTTGGGATGAATAGAGGTCAATTATATATACAATTGACTAGACATTAGTCATCATTTTTCCCCCTTCAGTAAGAGATAGTACTGGCAGTATCACAACCTTTTAAGCTGTGTCTCACCTATCTCTGTTTCAAATGCATGTCAATTTTTGAAGGAAGGAAGATAAATGGGGCAGCCCTTTCTATTGTCATTGCAAGTGGTAGGAGAACATCAGATAAATTAAGGTTCACTTTCTACACAAAGCTTCTGCCAAGCTGTACCACTAGGTGCATTATCAAGTGAATTCCCAGCATTCAGCCTCTCTGGATATTTCCTTTTCCTTTGTAATGATGAAGGATGTCCTTGACTTGTCATCTACTTTTGACTTCGTTCTATGCCTGATCTGACATCCCTCAGACCACCTCCCCCTCCCATTAGGATTTTCTGCCCCTGGTTATTGAGTCTGAATTATCAGGACTGAGCCAAAACTACTTCCAAGTTTCTCACAATATTTTCACTTTTTTGAAAACACACCTTTTTAAAAAACAACAATTTTTGGTACTACTTGCAGGAACCCCACCAAACAAAACAACCCAACTAAACATGTATTCTCATATATCTTGCCCTCACTTCCTGTTGACTTAAGTTTTGGCAAGCACCAAAGGGCTTTCTCTGAAACTCATCTGCACTCTTACTATTAGTGCTGCATGTTGAGAAACTCTCAATGGAATCCTCCAAACCTTTGATATACAGTGGTACCTCGGGTTAATAACTTAATTCGTTCTGGAGGTCCATTCTTAACCTGAAACTGTTCTTAACCTGAGGTACCACTTTAGCTAATGGGGCCTCCCGCTACCGCCGCACCGCCACCGTGCGATTTCTGTTCTCATCCTGGAGCAAAATTCTTAACCTGAGGTACTATTTCTGGATTAGCAGAGTCTGTAACCTGAAGCGTCTGTAACCAGAAGCATCTGTAACCTGATGTACCACTGTATACAACTTTAAAGGCTGGAACTTCAGGCTAGCCTCTCTTGCCTGCTCCCTGAGGCAGAAAAGGCTTTGCAT